TGTGATTTCGCCATCCAAATAACCATATTATGGTCTGAGGTAGACAGTGGTGCAATTACTTCAGGGGGGTTATAATGTGAGCTCATGTTAGTAAAAATAAGATCTAGGATATTAGAGTTTCGTGTCGGATCCTTAACCACTTGCTTTAAATTAAAATCACAATAGTCAGAAAGACACTTCATATTAAAACCGTTGCTGCAGGGATTAAAATCTCCAGCCACAATAAAACCTGTTTCTGGACTTTCAGATGATACTTTGTCATAACACGAATAAAAATAGTCATAAAACTTTTCTAAGTTTACTCGATCAATTGAGGGAGGAAGGTATACACAAGCAACAGCAATTCTCGAAATTGTTCATGGAAGCCACTTTGGACGCAGAATTAGCCACTGACATTCAAAGCTCGAGTCAGAGAGATCATCACGAGTTCTTATTGAAAACTCTTTACGGACATAGATTCCACAGCCCCCTCCAGAACCGATTTTCCTATCCTTACGTATCAAAGTAAATTGTGGGATGTTAACAACTTCACTGGGTATATTGTCCGCTAGCCATGTCTCCGTGACAATGATGATTTCAGCTTTATGCTCGTTTGAATAATATTTTAATTCATCTATTTTCCCCATAATTGATCTCGCATTTACGAGAAGCACATTCGGTAAGGTTCGGGCGGTCGGGTGATATGATGGACTCTCTTTTTTAAGGTAAATCAAGTTTCTAATCACAGGGTTAGATTTTTGTTTGTAGTACTGATAGGGACGCTCGTTATTTCGGTTTGTAGTAATTACGGGTATTGAAAAACAATTGGTTGCATTAGTGGTGGGTGCTACATTGACAATATCTGTCGGACCAGCTTTAAGTGGTCTAGCCATTCCAATGAGCGCGGCGGGGGCCTCTGGTTCGTTTGGCGCCGCCGAAAATGATATTGTGATTCTTTAATAGAATACTTAGAACAAGATGTTAAATGAGACGCCACACAATCACCTTGTTTTCTTGAAAGTGATCTTACCGGGTCACTTTTCTTTCTTGAAAGTGGTTTGTATAAGGAACTTCAATAAAGGGCAAAAAATTTAACCATGCATTGGATTGCCGGGGTTTCATGACTTGCTCTACTTTACTTGTGTCCACAGTTCTTGTATTACTGGGCCTTGCTATTTCTTCAATATACGTATCAGATCGCATACAATAATTGTTGCATAAATTACCTAACGATTTTGCTCCATCCACTGGACTAGCCTCATTTATTACACTATCATCTGCTTTGTCTAAACTTACGTGTAGATCACAGTTAACCAAATTGGGAGCAGACGACAAAGGATCATTGACATTATTATCGCTTGGATAAATAATTTGCAAGTCAGATTTTACATTACCCAGCATAATTGGTTCCACTGGGATAGCTTCGGTTATTGTTGTTGGCTTGAATTGATCGATGCTTTGTGTTTCTGATTTATTGTTTTCCAAATCTGATGTAGCGTTATCATTTTCTGGTGGGGACACGCTTTGAGGAATTTCATTGTTTATTTCAGCCTGCATAAAAACGGGGAGAGCTTGTTCGTGACTAACCATACTGTTCTCTGACAAAATGGAGGTTTTGCTTAAATTAGCCTCCCGAGAGTGTTCTTTTTTCGATTTGCATGTATTCACGGCACTTTCTTTTGAATTCGAACCTGGTTTTTGTGTATTTATACGCACAATCACTTGCGCGAGGGACTCATTTAGTACTTCGCTTGTCTTAATCTTGTTATCAAGGGAGGCAATGGTTTGATTCAGTTCAATTAATTCAGCGTGTCTGCCTCTTATTAAGACAGATATATCTTCCTCAAGTTGACTACACCTTTCTCTTTCAATAACCAAATCCCGTTCTAATTGTGTTTAATTTTATCATTTTCTTTTGTTGTATTGGCTATGAATGTTTTAGACTCAATATCCTTTTGCATCAACACCATTTCCAACTTAACCCCTTCCAGTTCAACAGTTAAGAGCTTGCAATTACAGTCACACTGATGAACGTAACACTCGGTGACTTCTGATAAATAGACTTAGGGCTCACCTTACTATGATCTTCCGTTTGAATGTCAGTCATAGACAAGGCTTCAGATGTAGGAGTATCATTCACTGAGGTAGCCAAAAGCCCGACAATACTATTGGTATTTGATGTTGTCGAGTACATAGCTCTGTCTAATGGATTACTTATTGACTCGCCATTCACCGACAAAGCAGCTATTCCCGTAAAGTCGTCGCGCGATGTTTTCTGGCAGACTTTAATCATCACGTTAGCTAAATCCGAGCTTGATTCACCATGTAATATGAGCGAGTTTTGTTTACCGGGGTACCAAGTTATGGTCAGGTCCGAATCGGAGCATGTGAATTTTTTAGAGCAGCCACCTGGCGTAGACCATTTGCCCTTCAGTTCAATAATTTGTTCAACGAATATCTTCAATGATTCGAAGCTTGCAATCCATTTCAGTCGTTTACCATCATAAACAAGTTTTATGCGATCATCATGTTTATAGTAATCATTGAGTTTTGATTCAAAAGCATTTTTATCTAAAAGTTTCTCAGAGCTAGTTAAAATACAGCCGTCCGCCATTTTGTTATGTATCATGCGACATTCAAGTGCCGATATTAGTTTGACGGTATATGTTCATTGTACAGAGCTAGAAAGCAGCGAGACAGTATTGTTTTCAAATGTATAAACATTTCACACGTGTATTATATTGAGAACTCTTTCAGATACTACTGAATATATAAATTGATGTTATGCATTATGATTTACGAGCATTCAAGTGCCGATATTAGTTTGACGGTATATTCATTGTACAGGGCTAGGAAGCAGCAAGACAGTGTTGTTTCCAAATGTATAAACATTTCAGACGTGTATTTTATTGCAGGGCATTTTTTAAGAATTCGTCAGTGGGAGGGGGGGCATCTACAAAAAGGGACCATACTATACCGAGTGTGGAGCAATGATAGATGGTTTATTGGTAACAAAATATTTGGTGTGGTATCGCATTTAATAGTGGTGGTGGGGGGGGGGGCAGAGCAGGGCCGTAGGAAGCTCTTTTCGTTTTGGGGGGCTGAAAGCGAGGGCCGAAGGCCCGGGGGAACTTTTAAATTTAGAGTCTCTGAAATGCCATTTCCTGGACTTTGGGGAAGATTTGACAGATTTCTGATTGTCAGAAAACGCCGTTTTTGGGGGCCAATTACATGGAGCATTTTCAACCCCAGGGTTGAACTCAGCCCTGTTTACCGGGTTGAAATTTCAGCCCTGTCTGTAATACAAAACTCTATCAAAATCAAACGCGCGATTACATGACAAAATTTTCAACCCAGGGCTGAGTTTAACCCCGGGGTTGAACTCAGCCCTGGGTTGAAAATTTTGTCATGTAATCGTTTCAACCCAGGGCTGAAATTATCATGAGTTATTCGAGCATACGTGGTAGTGACTATTTATTACAAGAAAACAAAATAAAGGCTTTTTACTTCCGGGAATCGTTGCTGAGAACGTATAGTAGAAACCTTAAGATTGACGTTTACGGCAAACGTCAAACCGCTAGCGAAGTTTTTGATTTTACAACTCTATTATTATAGCTTTTACACCAGTTTTGAAATATGTTAAACTTATTAAACTTGTGCTCTTTATCAATGATTTAAGAAAGCAAATTAACCACTAGTCATGCCATTCACCAAAGCAGTAAATTAAGATTTGGCGTTTGAAGTTGACGTTTGGCGTATAAATTTCATGCTTTAACGTCTACAAGCCCTCGTAGCAGTTCAAGCATGAAATTTATACGCCAAACGTCAACTTCAAACGCCAAATCTTAATTGCTGAACCAATAGTGAACCAGTACTTTCTTCATCGTGATAAAGAGCACAAGATTTAATAAGTTGCTGCTAAACAATAATATATAATAATAGAGTTGTAAAATCAAAAACTTCGCTAGCGGTTTGACGTTTGCCGTAAACGTCAATCTTAAGGTCTCTAGTATTGCGTTTCAACTCCGGGGTTGAAATCGTCCACGTAATCGCAAAAAATTTCAACCCGGTTAACAGGGCTGAGTTCAACCCCGGGGTTGAAAGTTCTCCATGTAATCGGCCCCATAGTATGTGGAAATTTAGAATTCAGTAGTACTAAATGGACGAAGGTGTATTTAATTAACGATATATTGGATAAGTTGCAGGAAAGTATGGTAAATATCTTCATTCTTTGCCGTTTGTCATGGATTAAATAATAAAGGTCTGCATGATTTTGAAAAATGAATGTTTATTAGCAAATTAGTATAATTACATAGGTGATTATTGAAAATTCGCCACGCTGATTGGTTGCCGTTGAGGTGATTATTACGCAATAATCACCTAAGCGATTTTCAAAATGGCGGTCGAAGCCGTTCTCTCAATTAAATGACGAAGAAATGTGCATTTTAAATTTTTTTTCCAAATGATCACCTATGAAATTATACTAAAACAATTATTCACCTCAGGCTTGGTGATTATCGTGAATAAAAACCTCGACTTCGTCTCAGTTTTTATTCACCGATAATCACCTCGCCTTTGGCGAATAATTGTTAATTATTGGGGGGCAAATGGCATTTTCAAAGTCTTCTATACGTCTTTTGTTTTGGCCCTTTCATTAATTCGTTCATTATGATTTGTGAGTCTATGATATCCGCGAGTCAGGATGGATTATTACGAGAAATGTTATAGAAATATCGATTACAGATATTTGATTATTTGTATATATGATTTCAAATACTTCTAGTTTCGAAATCAATTTTTTTTTTGGTGGGGGCCAAAATTATCCCCCTCCCCCCCTTATAAAACACTTGGTTGAGGGCCTGTTGCACCCTGCGGTCACTAACTTGTCCAATAACTCAAACTCTATATAGGGTCTGGGAAATGCAATCCACTGCCTGGGAAATGTTTAAAATCAAATAAGGTATTTATTAAAACATAATAGACAGGACATAAGATTCACAAAGCAAATTTCAGTTACTAGAATATCAAACCACCCTTCTAAATTCCATGTTTTGCTTATATTTTAGAGGAAAGGGACTTTGACCGGGGGGGGGGCAAAATTGTTGAGTGGAGGGGGGGGGCACCATGGGGCCTGAGGGGGCTTTGCCCCCCTCCAGTTCTATAGTTAAAAAATGCCCTGTTATATTGAGAAAATCTTTGAGATACTACGCAATATATAACATTGATGTTATGTATCGATTTACGGGCATTCAAGTGCCGATAATATTTTGAGGGTATATTCATTGTACAGAGCTAGGAAGCAGCGAGACAGTGTTGTTTTCAAATGTATAAACATTTCAGACGTGTATTATATTGAGAAAATCTTTGAGATACTACGCAATGTGTAAATTGATGTTATGCATTACGGGCATTCAAGTGCCGATATTAGTTTGACGGTAAATTCATTGTGCAGAGCTATAGGAAGTTGTAGACAGTTGTTTTCAAATGTCTAAGCATTTCAGACATAAATATTGAGAAAATCTTGGTTTACTTGTCTAGCACAACGTCAACGGTGCAAACTCGTGTTCAGACTTCAGTGCAACGAGAACTCTACAGAGGCGTAGCCAGGATTTTTGGTCAGGGGAGGCCAGCAAAACCCAGGTGGGGCCAAAAAAATTTCCGGACGACAACATTTTAAATCTCTCCGACCCCCGACCCCCTATAAAGTTGTATCTTTTTACTTAGACTGATATAACTCTTAATACTATGAACTCAAACTATAACCTTTTCCACGTGACCCAGCTCATGTCTGTTTCCTCCTTTATGCGGGTTACTTATTAACTTAACATTACATCCCCGACGCCTTTTTTGGTAAAAAAATTTTCCGTACATCACAATTGCTTTTCTAGCACTTTTCCCGATTTCCATATCACTTTTTCCGATGCTTCACCACAACATTGACAATTTTCCGACGGGTCTCAACTTGAAGCTATATAATCAAGGATTCCTTTTTTATTGCCGCGTAGCGAGCGAGCCTGAAGCGAGCGAGCGTAGCAGCGTTCTAATATGTGCAGAGAGGAGGTTTTGAAGTAAATTTTAGTTAGCCAATTGTATTTAGGATCGACATACAATATTTGAGGCGTATTTGAAGCATGTCGTTTAAGTGAACATAACAAATCCTACAAGGTGATTGGTCAAATTGGACAGGCTTCTGCTTCACTTCAGTAAATTAGAGTTATCCCTAGGTCTCTAACCTAGAGATTGCTTTCTATTTTTTATGCTACAGTTGGTGATCGCATTTTCGGTTGTTCGACAAACAACAAATATTTCTCTGGTAAAATTGCATCTATTTCCAAAGAAGATATTTCCATCTTGTTTGACGATGATACAACGATCACACATCCTCTAAATGACGTTACCGCTGTGTTTGCCGATACGGTTCCAGTCTCCGTAAAGTATAAGGATCAGGTGATTGTGGCATGGCCATTAGGAAGTTACAGACAGTACATCCGCGCTTGTACTGTCTAATTTTCCGCGCTTGTAAAACTGCGACAACAAACTATCGCTTGCTTGTATTTCATGTGTAGATTTGGCATGCACATGTCACAAACAAGGCCAAAAAAATGTTTAAAAATTAAAAAAGCCCATTATCATTTGATGATTTTCAGAAAATTACGTACTTAAATTATACAAAAACATCAAAATAAAAATAGGTTTCATATATTGTGCATGAAATATTTAAAAGTTAAAAATTTTCCGCGCTTGTAAAACTGCGACAACAAACTATCGCTTGCTTGTATTTCATGTGTAGATTTGGCATGCACATGTCACAAACAAGGCCAAAAAAATGTTTAAAAATTAAAAAAGCCCATTTTCATTTGGTGATTTTCAGAAAACTAGGTACTTAAATTATACAAAAACATCAAAATAAAACTAGTTTTCATATATTGTGCATGAAATATTTAAAAGGTAAAAATTTTCCGCGCTTGTAAAACTGCGACAACAAACTATCGCTTGCTTGTATTTCATGTGTAGATTTGGCATGCACATGTCAAAAATAAGGCCAAAAAATGTTTAAAAATTAAAAAAGCCCATTCTCATTTGGTGATTTTCAGAAAATTACGTACTTAAATTATACAAAAACATCAAAATAAAAATAGGTTTCATATATTGTGCATGAAATATTTAAAAGGTAAAAATTTTCCGCGCTTGTAAAACTGCGACAACAAACTATCGCTTGCTTGTATTTCATGTGTAGATTTGGCATGCACATGTCAAAAACAAGGCCAAAAAAGTGTTTAAAAATTAAAAAGGCCCATTATCATTTGATGATTTTCAGAAAATTA